CCCCACCCTTGGGGGAAGCTGAAGTCAAAGTTTAAGGGCTAATGATAAATATCATAAAGCCTGCCATTTGAAATAAATAAATGATAGCCATCAATAACCCTTTAGCTGACTTTGGGCTTCACAGAGAGGAGGAGCATCAAAGTGAGAAATATTCGAAATAGGAACAGAAGAGTGATTCACAGATGTAAAAGAGACAGGCAGACAGACACGAAGGGAGAGAAAAGGTAAATGAGATCTGTGGAAGTTGTGGAATATGGCATATATCTGACATCCGTCGGCCTGATGTTACCATTTTGCAGTTACATGATAAATTTTTCATTGTTTATGTCTGCTGTACTTCTGTGTTTCCGAATGACTTTCTTCACAATTGACGCCAACCATTAGTCACAGCTAGTCATTTCAAGTTCAAGTTTTCAAACATTAAAACTCAATTGTGTTCATAAATACCTAGTTGGTATCCTTTCCAATCCCGGGTATTGATAACAGAATATTTGAAAATTATTATGCTTGTTGAGACTACAATTTAACAGGATTCCCTCTAGTTTGAAGAACAACTTAAAATGAAATTAAACCACGGGATGGGAATCATAAAACAATACCTCCCTACTCACTTTATAATATGTTTTCTTCTTAACAATATATGTTGCATTTTTCATTTCAAATAAAGTCATTGCCAATCATTATCACATTCTATGCGTAAAGGAGCAGATATGTCTTTGCCCGTTTTATACATTTCTTGGTGCCCCCTACTATCCAATATTTCTTCAAAAGATTCGATTCGTATTTTCCATGAAAAGCACCAGAGAGTGTTTAAGATTTAAGTTAGTAACCAGAGTTTCTTCATTCAGCCATTAGTAGACATTTCACGTTCATCCACCTATAATAAGGCAGTTAAATTTCTCCAAAGAAGCGGTGTTCGTCGCCATTCTAGTTCACTCTAGTTGCCTTTTCAGTGTATCCGTAGAGGTTTGCTATACCAACGCGACTTGACTTCTGCTCCGCAAATCTCCATGGCAAAGTCTCCTAGTTTGGAATGCTTACTGAAATTAGCTGAGCTACCTCAAATAGGTCTATTTGGAATGTGATTTTACAGAAAGGGCTTTTCTAAAACCACAGGCCAATTGATTGGCAGCTGGCTGAGAGGTCTCTGCACTCACGATGCATTTGTTTCCTAGTAAGTACGCCGCATTTCGAGTTTGTCTGAGTGTGCGCATGAGAGTTCTTCATTCAGCCATGACAGCGTTGGGTGCTCCACATATCTGGGGGGTCGAGGAGCACTGCAAAGCTTCTTTTCGCTAGCTTATTTCATGGACGTGATCGATGACATTGGTCTGGAATGACCAAGCTCCAATGGAGCCCAAATAGCATTGACTAGCTTGTTCTTTTCCCAAAAGTGACACAAAGTACCTGATTTAGCTATGGATATTGACGTCTGAACGACTTTGTCTTTTAACCTCGGAGTCTGATAATTTTGCTACTGTTAGTTATTTTATAAGGCAGCATCGGGGTACATTCCATTTTGGAATCTCAAATTAGCATGTTAGAAGGCAGTTGATAAGTAAGGTAAAATGTATTTTGTAGAGAGAAGTATTCGTAATAGTCATTACAACGTCATATTCATGTGTGTTACAAGAAACGCATCATAAAAGTTAAAAAAAGGCAGTTTTATGGTCATTTCCACTGACGATAGAGAGTGGTTGGGTTGATAATATGGTAAAAACAAAAGTCCATTGTATTCGTTTCCCCTTACGAAGGTTAATGTACAATGTGCGACCAGTTGCATCTATAAACCAAAAACACATTAAATTATTCACGCACTCGAAAAATGCTACCGAAACAAGTTTAAGTAGGATGAATTAATCTCGTACTTTTAACGGATTAGGTTACTGCTAGCCATGGCCATTGGAAAACTTTGGTGACCTGGACTTGTCATGGTCTGGGGCATGTATGGCATGGGTTTTTGATTAGGGGAATAGAATGGCTGAGGGGGGCAACATATCCCTTGTTGGGGCTTTTGCAAATTATACTGGCAATGTTGCATCTGTTGTTGGGGGCACCCTGATGAGCACGAGTCAACTGAATCTGTATGAGCCGACGAGACTTCACTGCTACATCCTGGACCACCTCCTGCACTTCCTGTAGTCATCCCTTGTCGATAGCTCTCATATCCACTGCTTCCTCGATCACCTCGGTTGTCCTTGTGGCCTATTCCTACTGAACGGCTGCTTCAATAAAATAGAAGGAGGCCTTTAATTCTTAGCTCGAATAAACAAAATGACCTCGTCATTTTGAGAACTAAACTTACGTTCGATAAGTAGAAAGGCTCTGCTGCATTTGATTCATAAATGAGGAAGGGTCTCCGGCACACATCTGGGGATATATTTGATGTTGGTTTATCGTTGTGGTAGCCACAGGATAATGTTGGAGGTACTGGGAGGTACCTACAATACCCTGATCACTACTCGGCCGCCTCTGGAAACCATTTCGTGAATATGCACCAGGAAGAGAGGCACTAGACCTCATTGACATGTTTCGTTGATCATCTATCACCGGCGTTTTTTCAGCGGCAGTTACCTCAAGAGCCTTCTTGGATTTTCTCTCCTTTCGTCTGGCATGCCAGCGACGAAGAGTACAGAGGATAGATGGAAGAGTAAAGAACCTAGATTTTTTGACGTCTTGGGGTAGCTCTGAGGCGGACGATAAAGTAGTATGGGTTGGAGTACCCACATCAACAGAATCGCTAGGACGTCTAGGATGGACATAGTGTGATTGAGGTGGTGCTGCTTGGGATAATTCAGAGGCTGCTGAGGATGGCACAGGGAGCTGTGCAGACCAAGCCTGCATTGAATTCTGAAGATAGGGGGATGTGGGTAGGGACCAGGGGTAATATTGCATAGGGTTTGTCTGTTGAACTGGGAGTTGGGGTGTTTGTGGAGCGTACATCGGGGACCAATAAGCCTGATTCGCTTGTTGAGGTTGACAGGGTGTTGAATGAACTGTTGAGGACCGTGTCATCTGTGATGGCATCCAAGGGAAAGACACCGTCCTTTGCATAACCAGTGGTGATGCAAACGTTGACAGCGCCTTCTGGGCTCCATTATGCTGTTGAACAGCTCTACGAAAAATGGCCCAATAATTCATTATTTTTAGTACTCATATTTGATTTTAAATCACGATTAAAGATGCTTACGGAACGATCACAGGGGCTGTAGGAGACTTAGAAGTGGCCTCAGATTTGGGAGGATTGCTGCAAGAAGAACCATGATTCGATGCTTCAGAAACATGTTTTCCTCGTTGTTCATCATAATACGAGCATTTGTGGCAGGCTTTCGAACAGCACTTTTCAGCCTCCGCTTCACATAATGCACAAGATTCGCGAGCACACTTTGAGCAGGTAGTTTCATGATGTCGATGATGACGGCTATGATGATGCCTCCTACTACGTCTCTTCCGGTGACTCCTATGGCGTCTTGAGCAGCAAGATCGATGACATGATGATGATCGACTTTCAGGTTGGGATTGAGTGGGAGTATGTGCTGGAGAGGGGCGAGTTGGATCAGCTTCGACATGTTCTAAGTCAGTGTTAACATCCTTCACCCATGCTGCCACCCGATCAAATGAAGACGCGGTATTTGAGTGCTTTCTACGACGTGGAGAGTGTCTGGATCTGTCCGAACTTGAAGTAGGTGGCAATTGAGTGGCCTTGGGATCAACTACAGGACTGTCAGTTGAAACCCCTTTTTCGACAAACCCTGGGGTTTGGGCACATTTAACTCTAAAAATCCAGAAAAATTACAAGTAATTTAGTAATCAAGACAGTTCTCAAGTAAAACATTAAACGATGACAATAAATATTTTAAATTATGAAACTCAACCAATAGTTAAATGAGGATAAGTTAATTTACCGTGGTTGATGTACTGGTGTTGGAGTTTCATTCATTATTGGAGTAGTGGTTTGCTGCTCGATAGATTTATGCTCCAGCTAAATAAATAAATATATAGAATAAGTAATTTCCTTTGAAAACTATCAATTTTTCAAATAATGAACCTTTATTTACCTGAGGGGTGGCATAATTGGATTGGAGGAATGAAATTGGAGGATATTCGGAGAAAGTATCGTTAAGACACCAACTAATTGTACGCTTTACCCCTAAAAATTGATGTTAATCAATTAATTACGATATAGTCACAATATAGTATCTTAAATGAACTATTGTTACTTATACTTACCTTGACCATCTTGTTCATTTGCGCTCATAAGATTGCTCTGTTGAATGGCCAAATCAAGAAGGGTGTTTTCCCGTTCTTCATGGGCACCTCCAGCAATGCTACTTGGGGCTGAAGTTCCACCTTCAGTTTCTTCTGTACGTTCACTGATGTCAGAGAGTACTGCAAAACCTCTTCCACCACCACCAACACCCCCACCAGTGTTATTTCCTCCAGAGCTCTTAATTGGATTTCTTTCCTGATCATTTTCGTTGTCCGATGAACCGCTGGTTGAATCCGAAGTTGAACAGCTACTGCTTTCACTGCTTTGTTGGGACTGTTTCATCTCATCAATAGATGCATAAGTGGGTTCTTTGATATGCACTTCTGCGGGGGTGTTAGTAGAATCGATTTCAGTGCTACTCTTCTGTTCAGCTGATGGTGCAACAAACATTTTCGGTGTTTCAGTTCCTTGAACTTGGTTCTGAGAAATGATATGATGCGTAACACCGAAATATGGCGGAGCAGGAGGCGGTGGCTGGGATTGCGCATTTTCAGTACAGGTTGTCTGTGAATCGGATTGCTGCCCTTTCGTCACCATTGCATTAGGTCCATCTACCCATGTCTCCTCAGTAGAACTGACCATCTCTTTCCCCTTTCTAACAGCTGCCGCTCTTGGCCAGGCTGTTGCATTAGTTCTTGGTGTTACACGTTTAATTAAACCAGACGATCGGAGTGTTCCGCCATTCTCTGATTGAGAGAGAGATCTTCCAATTCGGGTTTTTCCAGCAGAGAATGACCTTTGAAGGGTTCCTTCTTCGCTAGAATTAGTGTAATTTTTCCACTCATCAGCGGAATGAACTACACTTCCATCAGCAAGACCACGAGGACCCAGCGAGCTCTCTGTCTCGCTAGCACCACCAAGGTAGATTACTGTGTCCCCAGCACAAGATTGTTCGCTACTCGATGTGTAATCAGTAGTAGATGCACCAAATGAGGAGCGACCTAGTCTAGGACGAGCTGAGAGTCGCGATCGGAACCCCCGAGATGATGTAGAGGAGTCAGATGTCGTGCCACCGATTGACGCGTTCCAATTACTACCTCCTGCACTACTTCCTCCACTACTACCCACTCTGCGACGCCGAAGACGATGCAATTTGGATGCTAATTGAATGACCTACATGGATGATAGTGTCAATTAAAAATTCATTTTGTAGCCTCGTTACCTAAATCGTTTAAACGGTCTAGCTTACTTGTAAAGTTTCTGAATAGTGTTGCTGTTGACCGGAGGCATGCGCGATAATGCAAGGTTGAGCATGCTTTCCAGTCATTCCTTCTCGCAAAAGCTGTGTGACGGCAGACTCTCTGTGAGGAAGTTGCCGTTGACCGGTAAGTAATCCCAAGAGAACGTTGGCAATATTCGCAAGTGAGAGGCTCTTTGAAGTTGAGCTCTGATCCTGAGCTTGTCCAATCTCTTTAGAACCATATCGGCCACATCCTAAGTAAAGTAACTGTAGACGACTCCTACCACCGGAAACTAAAAAGGAAAATACATCACTACTTAAATTCAAGTGAGTAACTAGTCCAATTGGTTTGCACTTGGTAATTACCTTCAGTTCCGGCACCATTCTTCTCAACTTTATATTGATATACATGAAGTGTGAAAAGAGTATGAGATATAGCGGTATTTTGGGCACGATTGGCAAGCGCAACATCTAAGAGATGAGCAGCATGACCGGCAGTTGGCGCTCGAATTTCTGTGAGTTTGTCCATTACTTGACTCAGCCGGGCAGCGGGAGTATTGTCATTGGAATTTGTTGTGTTGGACATTGACCTGTTCTTAGAATTAGGACTGTTGTCGCGGAGGTAGCTACTAGGAGCTGGTCCTTGTAAATGGTCATCTCCACCTAAAATTTTAAACACTAATTATCTTAGACAATTAATGCATTCAGAATTTTCGAAGGAAAAATATCATCCATTCAACTGGCATATTTTGATTACTGTGATTAAAATTTGAATATCAAAGTACATTTAAAACTTAATTAAAGAAGTTATTTATGAGACAAACTTCAAATAATTACCTTCTTTGCTTTAATAAGCAACTATGAATTTCAACTCAAAACTTGTTTAAAATTCTTCGTCTTGAATGACGAAATTTTTCCGAAGTCAAGAAAGGAGGCAACGCTTATTACTCAACCGGGCGGTGAAATGAGCGTGTAAAAGACTTCCCTCTTACAAATTTACTGTTCTTAGCATTTGTTAATAGAATTATTTAGCTCTTATTAATACTTAAGTAATAAGCTGTCAGAAAGTGATACTGCAGTACAAGCTGCGACCATCTCTTGAAAGTGGATGGGCGTGCACTCATTTTTTGAATTAGGGAAGCACACATTATTTATAAATATTATCGACGTGAGTAGAAAGTGGTAAGCTTCTAAAAGACCCCCAAAATAACGCAGAAAGAGCCTCGTATAAAGTGGGGGTGGGGAAGGAATTTAGACAGGGAAATAGGAGAATTCAATCCGAGTAATTTAAGACTCCAAATGACCCTCTTGTAGGATGAACAAGACCATCTGGACGAGTTTGAATAAACGCCTTTCCACTTTCCAGCGTGTCCTCGATGGTCAGTTCAACCCCCAGCCATTTTTTTCAAGGAAATTCTTGCTTGAATCAATCAAGGAAGAAGGTAGATCTACAAGAAACACTTAAACGGCAAAAGAGCAAGATGACTAACGGGAACCATTGTGAGTGAAATTAATGTGTGAAAACGACAGAGGCAGGACAGTAAATGACATTTTGTCTTCGATGCGAAAGCAATGACCGTAGCCATAACGAGAGCAAATTATTCCCGCTTGATAAACTACCCTAAATCTCTTCCGCTTCTTCACCGTTAATAGTACTAAAGCACTAGTTAAGAGAAATTGAATTTTGGCCAAATAAATTTGGGTGGGAGCCTAAAAATCTTCACAATATACAAAAGTTTGAGAGAAAGTTTACTCTCTAAAGCTGAATCTTGAAGAAGGTCCTTGAATGATTCTTCGTGACCGAAGACTTCAACAGCAGAGACTCGAACAGAAAACCGGGTTTTAGTGACTTCTTTCTGCTCTCCAACAAGTCGAAATAGCCAAGCGATTGCGCATGGAATAACTCCCAGAGAGGCTACAGATGTATCCGATCCCAACATTGTTCGAGATTTGGCTAAAAAACAAATAGAGGAAAGCGGCTTATAAAACGATCAAATGGTGGAAAAGGAAAATGAAGGGAACTAATGAACAAAAATCTAGTCAAAGACCCTCCTAGCTAATTGATAATCAGTTGCCCTCAACTCGCAAAGCAAAAGGTAATTTGTCATCAAGATCAGCCTCTCCCTCTTCTTCTACAACAACCTCCACCCCCAATCCCATACTAATCGAACGAAACTTACAGTGTGGCCAGTGGATATGCGTCTGAAGGGTAGGTAAGTGTGAGCATTCCACGATGGTCGTTATGAGTACACCCCCTTCCCCCCTCCCCCACATTCACACACCCCCAATCTCCGGAGGCGATTTCAAGCTAGGAAGTGCCCAAATATTTTCTGACTTTTGGTAAATAATTTAGTCATAGGAGGTAGTAGTCAGAAGAGTAATTGCTGCGTCTGATGGAAAAGACAGCTGCAGAAACATATCTCCTTACTTCCTCTCCCCAACCCGACGGAAGAATAAGTGAGACAACCAAACTAGTAACCTACTTTATAATGATGTTTACCGTATAATTGAGAAAATGCACAGTTTTTTTGTTACCGAAGAATAAATAACCAAATTAGCAAACAAGTATGATCCAATCGATTAGATTTTGGCTCTTTAAAACAACGATTTGGGTGAGTAAGATAAATTCGAATTCAGAGCGATTCAGGGAGCTCAATTAACTAATTTTTTGGACTCAATGAATAATCGAATACAGGTAGAGACGTAAACAATATGGCCAAAGTGAGGCAATTGCAGAGCTCAACACGAATCTTGTATGATTTATGATCAAGCCTAGTTACGGCCACATTGGTGAAGGTTTATGAGGAGTTGTATCACGTAATTAGATAGGCCACTAGTTTACCACCATCTTGATGAAACTAGTAGTGTCCACCTGAATTTCTAACTCCTATCAAATAATAGCACTTCGAAAAATACTGCTCGATTTGTTCATTTCTTTATCAAGGTTTTGGAAAATTTTGTTTTCTTTTAAGAAATTTCGGAGCTAAAATTGAATAAATTTCCTATTCGCCCCCAATACTTGTAACTTTTTAGTGGAAATGCTTTCTACTCTCTGAGTGCTTGTCTAGATAAAAAAGCTTGTTAAATTAGGCAAGTTTTTAAATAACAAAAGCGAACACTTACAAGTTTTCGCATGACCAAAGCAGAGAACGCAACTATCGGTTCCATGAACCACCGAATACACAGCATCTGTGAGTGCAGTGGAGCAAACTTCCGCCTACAGGATAAAAATAGTTATTTTTGAATCGCTACCAGAATTAAAAAGGCCTCCGACACATACACAGCAAGTAGCTTATCCACCTTCTTCAAATGTGAAAGCGGTGGGTTTTTTTCCCTATATATCTTGGAAGTAGTTGAATTCTTTTTCTTACAATTATCTAGTTGATTTCAAGATACAGAGTCTGGGTTCCGCCTGCCCTATATGAAAAATGTGGTGTTGAAACCACCTGAATGCCATCGGATGTTGTTGTAGGAACCCGCATAGACAACTTAATACGATCGAATTTCACTCCGTCTTGCCTCTTTAAGCAGAATCGATGTATTACTTAATTAATAAGCTTGGTTGCCCACTCTTAAAGGAAAAATTAATTTGGGACTGATTGCTTAACAAGCCAGCCATGCAGTAATGGCTATCTATCACTGACGTATATAAATCTCATGAGCATCTGGAACAAATTGACAAGCAGTATTCTTCGATTTCCTATCGCAGAACTACGCAGTTTGATGCTTGCCAAAAAACCCAATAAAAGGCAGCGAATAAACAAAATACAACTCCAAGTTATCCTCTTCAAACCCTTCTCCATTATTTTGTGTCATAAATTTGGCCGTAGAGAGGGTAATTGCTGCTCTTCAAATTTTATCGAGCGGAAAAGGAAGCCAAAAAGAGATTTTGGGAAAGAAAAAGTATTTCAGTTAGGCGAAAACAGTGTAAGTGGTAAAACACCATTGCACTGTAGGGTAAAACGAGAGGAAATAACCAGACGAAGTGATATAATCATAGCAAATTCTAGACTAAACACATAGAAAGGAGGAGGCAGTGAGAGAGAGAAATAGTGCGAAAAAAAGAGCAAGTATACATACGGACGTGTGACGAAAAAGGCCGAAATTCTTTGCAAAAAAGTGATTCTATACAACCGCGGTGTTGATGGCCGCGTTAATCGGTTATCGTGGGGAGTGTAGTGACAGCTGTTTTTAAGCCACTGAATTCAAAGAAAAGGAAGAAGAAGAGAAGGAAAAGGGAGAATAATTTGTGGTTAATTAAGTCTACATTTGTGAGGCGTAAAAGGAGTTTTTTTTTGGAAAGACATCGAAACAAAACTCAGTGATTACAATCAAATTAGTCAATACTAATTTGAAAGCACACTTACCAAAGGATCATCTTGTGTGTAAACTGAATCGAAAGAGAACATCTTTGGGGCAGTTAGACCGAATCTCCTTCGAGTGGGAGCGGGATGTACAAGAGTGACCTGTTTCCTTCGCGGATCAATCATAACACAAGGAGTCGAACTTGCCCCGTCGACTAGGGAGCTGGCTTGAGTAGTGGTTATAGTACTGGACATTTTTACACAGAGTATCACCTTCACCTAAGGGGAAGAAAATATTTTGTTAATAGATAATTTCTAAACAAGAAAGTTCTAAATGCCCTGTTGCCGGCGAGATTTTAAACGATGACTCATCTACATCCTTTTCAACGAATCTCTAATATGGCGCGCATGCGGTGAAATCTAGCTGCAGTTTCAGGCTGAAGACCTCATTTTATGGCTTCGCAACACCTCTCACTCCTCTTAAAATTCGTACCAGTCGTTTCATTTTCGTTTTCTACCACAAATTATTTTAGCAGACCACCCCAGTAACCTAAAGGCAGCTGAAGAGGAGAGAGGGTGGGGGGGGGGTGGAGAAAGGGGTGTTATTGACACCAAGGCTACACGGGAGCAAGCTATTAAACCTGCCACTTACCACGAGTGGTCAAACTTTCATTCATTCCACCCCCCCCTCCCCTCCCCTCCAAAAACGCCATAAATTTGCCGATGCGTCTATTAAAAACACAGAAACGATCGTTTATTTTATTGTCTGGGACGCCAATAACGCCAATAATAGCCTATTTATCCCACTGTTAACAGTTAAAAAGATATGTATTGCCTTGGGATTATAAGTTTAATGCATCTGAATGGGCCTCTATTTACATAGGGGCCAAAAACATTTATTTATTTATTTAGTTATATCAAATGGCAGGCGTCTTAATGGTTACCATTAGCCCTTTAGTTGACTTCAGGCTTCACAGAGGGGAAGGAACATCAAATTGAAAAAAGTCGAGAGGGGTGAACAGAAGAGTTTCCAAGATGTAAGAGACAAACACAAAGGTAGAAAAAAGGTGAGGAGAGTACTGTGGAAATAGTCGAATATGACATAGAGTGGGGTGATGGTAGTTTGAAGTTTGAAGTTAACTGCCAGTTAATAGACTTTTTTGCCGTATGAATATACGTTGCCCAGAGTGCACCACGTGGAGGTAGGTCTATTGCACTCCCCGAGTGCCAAAAACACTTAATGAGCTCTTATGAGAATTGATTCACCAATGGGAAGAGGGACATTTAAGGGCTTTATAAGAGGGTCATTGTGTGCTTATGAGCTACTCAACAACCCTGCAATTATTCAAGCTAGTAAAAACCAAAATGAGAGTGCAGTGTTATGATATTTTTATGGGAGGTGTAAGTTAGGTACAATAGGACCACAAAATTGGAATAAAATGAAAAGGGGGTGGTGGGGTGGGGGAGAACTCATTTATGAATATGACTCACAGGCCTGGTCATTTAATGGCATCTTCGAAAACACTCAAGGTGTCATGCTTGAGTAGGTGGATGGAGATGAGGGAAAGAATGGTAAGTGTAACGAAAATATCAAAGTTTGATTAAGTTAAATGTCTTTAAGTGAAAGGACAGCTAGGATATAATTCCACCCCCCTCCCCTCACCCCACCCCCATTTTTCATATTGGATTTTCTTCTTTCCACTTAGGCAATAGATGAAAATTGAACTAGCTTTATCGTTAGGCACTTTTCAAAATATTTAACTAAAACCAAAATCAACCTGTGAGGAAATTAAGGAAATATGTGCAAACGACCACCCACAGCCCTTAATTGAATATGCCCAGCATAGGCTACTAATAGGGGTTTTTCCGCTAGGGAAAGTAGAGGAGTCTAAGAATTGTGTGGTAGGTCTTCCGGAGACCGAGGTGTCTAGTCAAAAGTCTTCTAGACTGCCCGAATGATTGCAGCATTTGCTTATAAATTGGAGACTAGACAGTCTCTGTGGTCGGATGAAGTCAACTGATATTATATCTCGTGGAAGCATGAGATTGACATTTTAATACCCCCCCCCCATCCACATAACAGGCCCGATACGAAACTCGAGTTTAAGCATTTCCAGCCAATTCTCACGACTGAGGTATAAACGGCTGGTAGTAATGGTGACTAATGATGTCCGGACTCACACGCATGTGTGAAAAAGTGTCCAGTGTAAAGTCTTTCTCTCTCTCTCTCTCACTCGCAATGCGTGCATATGTCTAGAATTCCTCCAGCACCTTTTTTATACACATTGAAAAGTAGCAGCAAAACAACCTTCCTGGATGACTCACGAAGAAGTCGCAAAGAGGAACTTCCCGAAATCCGCAAACTGACATAAAGCGCGATGAGAGAAACTAGCGATCTGTCGAAACGGAATATGGGGCCAAAAATTTCGTCATGTCATTAATATAGGCTAATTGTACTACCCTGATGTCGAGCAGACACATGAAGAGAAGAAGTGGGGGGGGGGGGGGGGGAGGGAGGGAAGGGGAGACGATGAGGAATCCAGAAAATTTTATCCACCACCTCAGAAAGTCTAACTTATGACAGCTTAGATGTCTGCCAACTTCATTAAGAAATGATTAATGATGGCCACACACACACACAATACTTAAATTATTCAGAAAATTGCCAAAACATGAAGTCTTTCTCATTTCAAGCCACAAATAACCCCACCATTTTGAACTTACGAAGAGGAGTTTGCTTAGTCTTCTTGAGTTGAAAAGCCTCCCTTCCCCATATCTCGAGCGTATTCTATCGAATGGATGCTACCACTACGTTACTAAGGCGAGAACGAGATATGAGATAAAAGTAGGCAGTCGCAAAAGCCACCATTGTATTTTTTTAGAGAGGTGGCGAAAGGAGCCAAATAATCACTTTATGATCTGTAGCATGCCACTGATGCATCTTTAAAAACCGGTCATATAAAGCGCATATACCGAGAATCAGCAACTACCCAAAAGGGAGTCCACTTTGGGTGGATATTAAGTCGACAACAACCACTATTTCCACGTCACTTAGAGTAGTAAAACATAACGATGCTAGAACTGCTGTCACACATAAAAACCATTTCTCGCTATCTCAACAATATACACCCATCTTTCCACATCGGGGACAGCCGTCGTAAAGTGCCGCTCTTTATAGTAAATTGGCCCCAATGTGTTAACAACTAGGTCCTTAATTAAGGTTTCACCGTACGAACTACGTTGGGGAAACATGCATATGAGAAAACAAAGAGGGGACGATTTATTGTGTTCGTGCAAATCGCCAGATAGCCCTCATTCATATATACTTCTGGCAACATTTACGTTTAGAGATATTGGGTTGTCAGGGCCTCGTCATATCTAGAGAGAGGGAGAGAGAGAGAGAAGTGAATTAGGGACCGCCTCCCTTTACGAGAGTGAGCCGCATTACCAGGAATAGGCGAAGCATTGGTGGTGGAGCAAACTGAAAACATAGATGCACTTTCCATAGACAGAGAAGGAGACAGTTAAGAACACTTTTCAATTGGTGAAAAGAATTTAGAAAATTAATAGGTATTAATAACGAAAATTTTCTGCCGGCTTATTTATAGTTTAGAAACAAATGATGCGATATGAATAGAACGAGTTCATCATTTTTTGTACTTTAGAGAAAAGATTCATAAAGAAGCGTACTTTGGAAGTAACTTGTGATGGTGCATTAATGTTCTTGGTCCACGAAGTGAATTTACGGCCATAAATTGGATCTACGATATGGGGACTCATGTGTGGTCACTCCTTAGCCATTTCTAAGCTTCAGACGCGTGCACACAACCAATATAGGAATCCCGAAACCGTTGTATCCACTTTGTAAATGACAACTGATCCGGTGTCAATGAAGGGTAAAGGTCAATTTTTTCATGTTACAAGGAAGGGGAAGCGGGGGGAGGGAGCGGGTACATATCTAGGACAAGCGAAATGAATTCCACTCTTTCAGACCCCACATAAACAACAAAGCTACATAAAGAGGCATATTTAAGTGCAAGAAAGCCTACTCTACTTCGACGTTGTTATAATTTGCCCTTCTGAAGTTATAAACTGTCTCATATCCACACATGAACGTTGCCTTTCAGATAACTCCTCTCTTCACTAAGAAAGCCATATCTTGCTCATTGGCACTTCCATTAAATTTAGTAGTGAATCATCTTCGGGAAGAAGTTAACGGATTCTGTGTTTCTGGAGCGCCATGAAATGAAAGAGGGGGCCTTGCATCCTCCCTAAGGGCCGCAACTAAGTACATCGATCACCAAAGCTAGCATATGTACAATTAAGAAATGTATCCATTCTTGTTTCCACCCCCCCCCCCCCCCCACTGACGCGCTCAAAAGCTTGATGAATTATATTGTTTGCAGGAGCTTTTAAATCAATAGATCCAACTCTCCCCTTGAGAATTGGTCGTAAAAAAAGATAGCGGGAGTCTGGCGTTTGGTGGTGTTTATTAGCCCAGTGAGACAGAGTCTAGTATATTTCTTTGTAAACAACGAGTTATTTTGAGCATAAACACCCCACAAAGTTGAGATGAAAGCAAAGCCGCCACGACAAGGATTGGCTGTCTAGGAAAGAGCCATGATGACTGTCGGGGGAGGAGGGACAAACAAATAAACAGGCGAGCTCAGATAAAATACAGTTGCAATAGTCCTTATCAAGTTTAATTCAAACGGCCAGGAAAGAAGTTATGCCTCAATGGATTTGCCAATCATGTGCCCACGCAATGAATGAAACGTGATTTGGCGAAATTAAGACTGGATTTTTCAGAGGAAAATAAAACTCACATCTCCAGCAGAGGGTGGAGCTTTTGAGCCAATGAAACGAGAACCACTGAGATTACTCTTGGCGACCAATCCTGGCGGCATCGGTAGGAGACTGTTTCGAAGCAGACAGCCGAAATGATACCTGGGTAGTTGAGGTGGTGGAGGTAAAGGTCTATGAGCGTAGCTAGCTGAGAGTAGTCGTGCGGAAGATCTGCTAGATCCTGCTTGAGACGAGGAAGGAGAGTGAGCACTTCGACTACGATGATTGCTTCCACCGTTATTACCTCCATTAGTCCTTCGGTGACCGTTAAGGTGGGAATTTTCCTCATCACTTTTCCACGAACCTCGATGCCGGCTTGATATTCTAAACGACGGAATAAACAGATATAATTTCCACTTTTTCGAATATTGTATTACCATGAGCTAAAATAGATGGCTAGGATAATGTGAATATATTTTATGAATGTACGCAAAATTAGCTATTAGTAAGTAATTAATCAACGACTTGATGAAATACAATATTTTTTATTAGAAAATGGATATTTTTTTATCGCTTTTAATGAAATATTTCCACTGGACTATATTCTTTTATCTTCTTCGGGACAAAATTAGTAAAATGGTTAGTTGCCGGATATTTGTATTGAGGTTGATCTTTGAAAAGGTCCAAGGAGAAAGATGGTATTTTCAATCAGAAAGGTAAACAGAGACCACCTCTTGTGCTTTTCAATGGAAATTGAAGAGCATTTTCAATTGGAACTACATTTGTTTCTGTTTATATTCCTGAAGGCATGTGGATTTACCACCTCAGATTTGAAGTTGGCTCAAAAGTTACAGACAGCTAGTCGTTAGCGAATTTAAACTAGGTAGTAAATGCGTTTTTTTTCTTAGAAGCAAATAATTGAAATTGTGGATAATTTAATGGATATAAATGAGTGTTGTAGGTTAAATGCCCATATAACACCTCACCTATGCTTCTGATTCAATCCAGTCCAGCTGATAATTTTAAATGATTATCCAGTGGCTCTAATTAACAGGATGATAAATAAGCCCTTCACGGGAGAGAGAGAAACATGCGGTCAGTTAAATGAGCTGGAGTGAACAACTGACATCAACCACTGGGACCAACATCCGGCCGATAATGAAGGCTATGTCCATGAACCAGGGTCCACGAACGAAAGAATGATTCATCACATTGCTGAACACACACACAAGCCACCGATTCTCCTTTGCCTTTTAATACCATGAAATTGAGCTTAAACTTCAATGAGCCTTATCACTTCTTTGTTTCTATGCGCACACACACACACACACACACACACACACTCCCCACTTTGAAAGAAAAATAAACCTTGCTTGTGCGTGAGTCTGAAAACTAGATGACGAATTTCGAGAGGATGTAGAAGAAGAAAAAACGGACAAGGAGTGAAAAACCCAGGAGAAGTGAGAAAATCAGGCGAAATAGAAGTGTTCCACTTGTGTGCTTGTTCTCCATCTTGATTAAACACAAGTTGGGGGTGGAGGGGGGGGGGTTGGAAGTGGAGTGATATTAACATGTAAATGACTCAGTATTTGTGAAAGGGAGGGAAAGACAAATTGGATTATGCGAACTTTGGGGAAGGAGTCACGGAGAAGCACTGGTAAAAAAATGTTTTTTTTTCGTTATATTTCTCCGCATTCATTACACCGGAAATTACACTCTATTTGAAATACTTCAGGAAAGTGTAGTTGAAAGCTCCCTAAGAGGAGGCTATTGGCATAATTGGAGAATGCTCAGTCCATTTTTTTGAAAGCATCGAAGGCAAATAATAAAGTTGGGTAAGGGGGGGGGGGGGGGGATATTCTCAAGGTGAAATATGCGGCCTTTGAACAAGCGGCTGTATGAAGCTTTGAAGAACATTTCCCTTGGGGGGGGGGGGGCGTGGAGTTGTGGAGCGAAGGATGAATCCCTGCACTCAGCGGGAATTTTCAAGGAGATGAAAGCTCCAATTATAACTAGTAAAGAAGTTAGTAGTGAATGCCGTTTTTCATCTCCAAGGCGGGCGGAAAATTCGCTCAGCGCAATAAAGGCGAAACGCATTTATTATTCATATGAGTCATGGCCAAATTAATCATTTCTCACGAAGTTGGCATAAAAAGACCAAAAGACTAAAATAGTCTAAATATATCTTTTACAAGTAAAAAGGGAAAGTACGATTAATTAATTAACAAAATTAAGAAAATTTTCGAACAAAGATTTAAGTTAAATATCCAATTAGCGTTATATTAAATAATCTTCTTTATCGATTAAGAAATATTTAAAAATATTTCAGTGTTTTTTTAAATTTGTAAGCGTTGAAAATAGTGTAGAGTAAAATAGTATTTAAATGCGAACTTGAAACCAAAAGATCGGTTACTTACAAACTCAGCAATAGATTTCGCATGGTTGGGGTCTGCGTATGACCGCACAGAAGGTTTGAGTGTGAAAATAGGTAAAAGAGGGAAGAAATGGTGAAGGATATACAACAGAGGGTAATGATCCGATAAGTATGTGATGACGAGGACCAATTTCCTTGAACAGTTGGCGTTGTTTTACAAGCGCGGTATGGTAACTTCTCTGCAGCTCTATCTAACCCAGTCTGACATGCGACAGCCTCGTTCAATTTAGCCCCCCTTCTGGCCCCCTCTCCCACTCCTACCTCCCCACCTCATCTCCACCTCCACCCCCTATTATTACTCATTTCCTGAACGAATAGGGAGAGTAATAAACAAGATGAACACTGTATGTCATCTACAACAGTGGTCCTTAGGCAGCATATGTACAAACACATTACAAAAATACCAGTTTTGCAGAGGTTAGGTTGAGTGACCTACTAGTAAAATAAATATACCAAAGCGGACGAACAATGTAAAGATAATGACGACTTGATGGCTTTGTTACCTTGACACAAAGGAACGAATTTGAAAAAAAACTACTAAACGATACAGACGTGTAGAATTATGTTAATTTGATTCGAATGAAATGATAAGTTTTGGGTCGTTCACCGTTCACAAGAAATACACGTGCTTGTTTAGACAAGTGAGCCCACTGCTTAAAACTGCAGAAGAAACTTGCTGTTACTTGGGATGATGGAAATCAATTACAGCCTGTTAACCTCCTGAGAACTTTCGCACGATAAACGTATTCCAAACATGTGTCAAATAAAGCTTCTCTCTTCCCAATGACGGGTTGTTTTTCAGAAGTAAGTTTCTTCAATAAGTCGAACAAGTGGCTGGAGAAGGGACATGCACTTTTAATTGCATAGCCCCTTATAAAAAATTTTATCTTTCTAATTAGCTGTTGTTTGTGTGTGTGCGTGTGTGTGTGTGTGGGGGGGGGGTATTTAGGGAGAATTGGTTGATTATAATTTTTCACTATTTAAATACTCCCTTCTGGGGGTAGATGGGAACGTGTAGGCCACATAGGTGATTAGCTTTTGGACATGTTACTGCTAGATGAAGAGGTAGTTAATGAGTCAACTTTTCCTTGTGGTTGGTTAAGCATCGAGAGAAGTGGTTAATTATTCAATATGCGCATGACTCGTGCAATACACGCACACAAGGAAACAGTGTCTATATTACCTTGGGATGTGCTCTGTTGGCGTTCTGCTATTCGTCACATTGGATTGGCTGGATTTGGGGATTGACAGAGGACGAAGTTGGTGGTATATATGTGGTGATTCCATGGCGTTCTGAAAATGGTAAATAAATTAAACTATTAGTCATAAGCTATTCTTAATTAACTCCATTAGTAATTCCCTAGACGTCGTGGCTGACGATAGGTCTTAGATGAATCGAAATCCTACAACAAACTAGATGGAGGATTCTACTTCCGTTAGGAAAATGGTCACCTTACCTTTAAGGATACCCACGTATGAAAGATGTCCAAATTTCTGTACATACGAGCTAATGGCCTCCTTAGCAGTCAGGCCACTCACTAACCAAACACTCGAGATTCGGTCAGTTTCCCATACAGCGGTGCGTAAACATTCAAAGAGAGAGAGATTTCATGATTACCTCTTCTTCTTTTCCCTTAATCATTTAAAGTTAAAAGGGCGACAGAAGTGATAGATATGATCATAGTATGCGGTCGGCCAGGCCTAAGCGCATTTGAGTGACTCTAGCTGGGGACCACGCGGGCCTGCCCATCAACCTCCTGTCCAAAAAACGGACGCCGCTGTTTCAAGCAACTTGCTTGGTATATATAAATGAAGCAGCTCTCTCTCTCCCTGTTCCGCATGAGTAAACAAGACAAAAGGGAGAAAAAATGGAGATGGGATGCCTCTCGGCTTTCCACTTGTTTCCCTCACCCCCCTCTCCCCCCCTACCCCTCCCATGGGACATTTTGTGTTCTGATGTTCTGCGTGCTTCTCATTTGTGTGGTCGTGTATGCTTACAGATGGGAATTGCCTGGTGGCGGAAGCGGCAAGAGGTAAATAGATGTCAAAATGTCAAAGTTGGGCATGCGTATAAGGGAGTACCCATGAAGGGCAGGTCTGAACCCCACCCCCTCCTCTTTCAATACTTCAAATATGAGTAAAAAATAGAAGCCCTCTCTTATATCCCGACTATTCAAACACGAGCACTCAGAAGTTGATAAATGAACAACTGGCAATTGATTGGAAGGAAAAGGCACTCTATTTTGTTAAAGTCAATGCTACTTCTAAAAGCATCAATCATCGAAATCTCATATATCAGGAAACCGCTTTTCGAACTCTGATCACAAAAATCCAACATACCCGACGGAATATTTTTGAGCAGAAACACTGTGATCCATAATAAAGTGAATTTTGAAAAACAGTTTCATTTTCTTATTCTATATTTTTATCAATCATTAACGTTCATAGTCCACTTGGTAAAAAGTCATCTTTGATATGATGTACGTGAATATTTTAGATTTCCATTTGTGATTTCCTACCAATCGCCTTCCGTTCGTAATTCACAAATAGTTGTCCGATTTCTGGTTATGATTAAATATTGATATATATATATATTAAACATACGAGCTTGTTGAATTCTCGGACTTAACTATTAGTGACACCTTTCCAAAAAGTATGGCTTAAATTACGAATTTATTAAGGTCCAACAAAGCACACTTCCAAAATCCGGGCTAAGATTGTCAAATACACACACACACACCCCATCTGTTAACCGACATACCCAAATCGTAGAAGCGTACAGAATGCGGTCTCGACCCACCTCTTTCGGGGCAAAAATGACTTCTTTAATCGACATGCGGTCTTTCTCTTGATCCTTACAATTTAACTTCATCATGAATGCCGACACTTGACAACACACCAAGGCGCCCATTTCAGAAATACTATTTCACACAGCTCACTAACCCCTGGAGGAAGTTGCAAAACCACCCCACATTAAGAATAACTCCGGAAAGGCTGTGAAATAAAATGGAAAAAAGGTACAACAGAGACTAACATAAACTTTCAAGAGGGCTGTAAATTGAACACGAATTCACTTGCAATTACTCAAATTCTACCGATGATGGGATCTAACCTACAAAATAAATGTCATAGAACTCATATCTACTCTGTGATGTGATAAAGAGCTGATTTGTTACTTGGGGCCAAATCGTAACGCTCCCATTTTGAGTCCTTGGGTATGTTTATGGAGCAGTTTCTAGGTTATGCCTACCGGAGTTTCCAAAAACTAACCTAATTTGACAGGGTTGGCCAAGGTGCAAATAGTAATAATCTTATAATTAAGCGTAATAAATTAATCAACTCAAGCTTAATTATAAATAATTCTGTGACCAAATTGACGTTATACCCTAGGGAACTCGTGTCTCTCTCTCACACACACACAGAGCATTAGATTGGAATAGGAAATGAAGGTAATTCCTTTTAATTGGTAATCAATATTATCACTAGTGGGCAATGTTAAAGGACATTAAATAAGCCCACAACGAGACAGACAGGAGGGGTTATAAAGATAGGAATCAGCCACTTTTTTGGGGAATGAAAATGGTTAGAGGTGAGATAGAGGGGAAATATCAACATGTGGGAATGAGATGACTTCAATAGATAAGACAACGGCCAAAAGCCATGGTTACAAAACCCGTCATCATTAGAGATGCAATATATCGACCGCGAACGCGAAATTTATTTCAGGAGGAGGGGGAAGCATAATTTATTTATTTATTTATTTGAAAATATGATAAATTGTCTTTCAATTGACTTTTAAGCCAAATAACAGCAAAGCATAAAATTACTTCTTCTTTTTTATCAAATTTTGCATTAATGCATAGCTTATAACCTGTACGGCAGTTTTATTTGACAATACTCCCAATACTCCATCAATAGTATGTTGGACGTAATTATGTAAATAAGTGGGTAAAAAAGGGATCGCTTATTTTTCGAAAAAACGCCTATTGCCCCCCCCCCCCCTATTGGTTGAACTTGTGGGAAATTCGAAATGGTAGCCAAATTAGCTTAGAAATTAATGACTAATTTACTTCAACTCTTGTAAATACTACTTCACAAATGAGCGGAATGCGAATAATTTCATACATGATAAATTAAAACAAATAGAAAACAGCTATGTGAAATGGTAATGAAACTTACATCACATGACTGAGAGCACCATTTTAAAATAGCACCAAATCGGCAGTTGACAATTTTAAGAAATACTATTTTAAAAAATTGTAATTGATGCGGAACTATCCAATTTAATTTAATCAAATTTCTCCAAATTCCAATCCATTAGCTGACTGATACGTGACTGCATTGACATCGCTTTCGTTAGAATGAGCTAAAAAAGCTTTTACTGCAGCTATTCAAGGCGTTTTTTAATAGGACGACTTGAGAAAATACAAAATCAAAACGATGAGTTGAATTATCAGAGGAATAGCAGGAGAAGGAGGGTAGGTATTATGCTTGGGCGGATTAGTCAGCAGTTGAGGAAAGACAAGATCACTATGCAAATTGGCCATCAGCAAAAGACAGCTTCTTGACAAACTCCTCCATTGTTTGTCGAATAATCAAATATTATCACAACTAGCCCTATTTTAGGACACAAAACAGAGGGAAAGGACAGTAACCAAGCTCCTAAGCAGTTGGAGATGTTTAAATGGCATTGCGAAAAGCGCGAGTGATTGAAAATATATAATACAGCCCATTTAAAATATTTATGTGAAACGCTTAGAGAGATCATAAGAAGATGAAAGAACAAAGGTGTTTGAATTTTCCATAGCACTCGGAAAAAAGGGTCAAAAGTCAGTCAAAATGACATATTTTCCTTTTTAAAAAATAGCTGGTCAGTCTGCTAATGCTAAATCGGCTACCGAAATTCGACTGGGACTCATTGAGAAATGAGAACAAATCTGAGTAGACTGAGTGAAACACACCATTGTTCAACAGACATTAGACACATAAATCTCCTCCGTTTAAGTCTTAGATACCGACAACCGATGTCCCAGGTTACTCCAAGGCTAGCAATCACAATAATTTATGACCACGCAATGAAAAATGAATAGTCCGGAAAAAACAAATAATTAATTTTAACTCAACATCATTAGATACTCACAATATCTCCAGATATGTAAACTAGTATGAAATAGGTATAAACATTGCAGACTAAACTCACTTTAGTTTAAATAGGACAAATCCTTGTGGTATGTAAAGAAGGTGATAATATATTTCCCTGGGTTAAAGAGACGATGCACCTAGCCAATGGTTTGAGTGCAGACTGAGTGTATTTTTAGTAAAAGGCATGACTGTTGACGCAACGGCTTGAAAGAGTCCGACAACGGGTAGCGGACCAATCAACACACGGTAGATACACATAACCAACCAGGGGTCACGGCTGTAAGGACCAATCACACGAACGTTCAAGCAAGGTTATTTAGCACGTTTGCCAATCAAATTCCCGTATCACGGCCAATCTCACTGTGAAGGCCCTGGAAAGCCCACCAAAGCACAGCTTTGTGTCTAGTTTAAAAACTGTCTCGTTTTATTATGGAACTATCTTATACGAATAACTTGCACAAAATGTACGGGCCCAGGTGAGCCGGTAAATTGTTGGAAGATGTCGGGGTTTGGGCAGCTAATTATATACTGTTGAAAAGTTTGTACTGACTGGACGCAATAAACTAAGGTCACAGTGGTTGATTAGTTAAAGTAATCCAGACTTTTGTGAGGACGCGACATAACATCATAAACTGAGACCGCGTTGGTTGGAATTTGGGGGATGTTTGTAAGAGGAGGAGGCCTTCGTCAGGGACAGGTGATTTAATACTGAGTTGCAGAAAGTGCAAATGAACCCCCATATTTATTCTTCTTCAACTAATATCGAATTCCTGTTATGCTTGAAAGACACCATGGATAGGTGATTTTGAGCCATGGGGGGGGGGGAGTTGAGGAGGGCTAAAACTCATATTAGATAAATTGACCATATACAGTTCAAACTGATTTACAAAGTCAAAGCAGGAACACATGTATTTTTCGATTTGGATTGGCATTCCATATTTCATATTATAAAGAGATTGTGCGAAGTTCGTTGAAGCTTGAACAAAGTTCATCACCAGTACTATTTCTTAATTTGATATTTCAATAGAAATAAATTAATGTAAATAACATAGAATACCCAGGCTGTGCGATAGACTTTCCTCCACGTGGTGCAGCCTGGGCAACATATACTCTTACGGTAAAAAATCTATAAACCGGCAGTTGACTTTACACTACCATGACCCCACTAAATGTCATATTGCACCACTTCCACAATACTCACCTCACCTTACCTCTTTTTCTACCTTTGTGTCTCTCTATCTCTTTTACATCTGTAAATCACTCTTCTGATCCCCCACCCCCTCCCATTGACTTTTGTGACTTTGTTGTTTCTCCCCTCTGTGAATCCCGAAGTCAACTAAAGGGCTAATGATAGCTATCATAAAGCCTGCCATTTGATATATATATATAGAATACCCTATTCTTTTTATTATAATTGACTACTTATATTAATCTACAACCAGAAGATAAAATTACCATGGATAATAAGGTTGCAATCCGATTGGTTTGCTAAATATGAAATTAGTGTACATATTATTGGGTTTGGGATTTTTATTATCACAGCCATCTTTGGAATAGAATGAAATCAGCACTCTTTCACTACCTCTCAAAGAATAAATTTCAAGGCGTAGTGATTGCATCACTTTTAGTTTTCATCGTTCAAACTAATGAAATATCTGGTCTGAATGTGAACGTATATAAAATGAGGATGGATATATGATGGGGGGGGGGAGGTCTCGATATAATGATCTCTTATAATCTCAACAAATCAAAAGGAAACATAAGGACAGGCTTATTGGTTGATTAAACCGATCTTTGTTACTAAATCATCCCAGCATTCGATCAATGGATGGTGTACACGACAAATTCAAATCAAACTGATTCAAAAAATGTTAAAAATTAAGACTGAAAAAAACCGTATGGCAAGAAATTGGCAATCGTATTTGATAAGATTGTTCAGCAGGTCATATATTTCCTGGAACTCAATTATTTTAATCTGCTTGAATATGATTTACAAATATGGGTCTTTCCAGCTAACCATGAATAATAGGACAACAATTGTGAGAGCGTATTACTATGATCTCTAACCTTCCTTGATTTAAAAAAATTAAAAATATATTTTATCAGACATTTTTCTGAAGAAGACGTATTCACAAAACACACGAAGATGCAGACGCAGATATGTACAACGGTTCATTATCAAGCAAGATTATTATTTTGAAGGCAAGGAGTATTTAATTATGATCGCGGTAGGTACATTGTGGGGATTAGATTCGTTCTGGTTTGAGTTAATAGAGATCGCTTATTTCCATTGGGACTTCGTTTTAAAGGCCTTGTGGGGCACAAAATGTGCTCCTTTGCATTCATTCCTGTCTCAACTGTGTTTTTCCTTCAAGAGATTAGCTCCTTTAGTTACACATGCTTCTAAAGAAGGAGTATTTGACTATGCACTCAAATGCTAGTAAACAAATTAATCCAAAAAATGTATCAGGGAACTGGTTGTTGCCTCGGAAACTCCTTAAACAGCTCATTAAAGGGCTAATTTTCATCAAAGTTTTGAGTTGCAGTAAGAACTATTTTGTAAATTGAAAGTGCGCCGTCAAGCTCGACTTAGCTATTAAAGTGCTTACTTTCGAATCTAATTGCTTACAAGGCAGTCTTAACATTTTGGAAATACCTTGGCCTCAAGCCGGTGATTGCAATGCTTGATACTCTTGTGAAATGCACCAGCGCACCAACGTATGCACGTACGTATGTGTGTACACTGGGATGGAGGCAGAAAACACGAGT